GGTGGGGGTTGTGTGGGTGGCAACCACTCGGTATGTCTCTCTCACATCGATGTTTCTCTCTCCCCCCCTCCCACTCTATCTGAAAATAAATGCAAAAATGTCCTCGGGTGAGGATTAAAAAAACAAAACCAAAAAAACTGACTAGAGCCCTGGCTAGTTTGGCTCAGTGGTTCGAGTGTCGGTCCGTGGACCAGAGAGACCTGGGTTTGGTTCCCGCTAAGGGCACGTACCTTGGTTGCAGTTTGTCCACGGCCCCAGTTGGGGTCGTGTAGGTGGTGACCAGCTGATGTGTCTCTCACATTGATGTTTCTCTCTCTCTCTTCTTCCCTCTCTCCCTCCCACTCTATTTGAAGATAAATAAAAAATGTCCTCAGGTGAGGATAGGAAAAAAACCAAAAAACTGACTAGACAACCTGCTGAGTGGGAGGAGATATTCACAAATGATCTATCTGATAAGGGGTTAATATCCAAAATATATAAGGAACTCATACAACTTAACAACAAAAAATAAAAAATCCAATTAAAAACTGGGCAGAGGACCTGAATAGACATTTCACTGAAGAGGACATACAGATGGACATCAGGGAAATGCAAATTAAAACCACAATAAGATATCACCTCACACCTGTCAGTATGGCTATCATAAAAAAAAAAAAATCAACAAATAACAAGTGCTGCTAAGGATATGGTGAAAAGGGAACCCTTATGCACTGCTGCTGGGATTGTGAATTAGTGCAGCCATTATGGAAAACAGTATGAAGATTCCTCAAAAAATTAAAAATAGAGCTGCCATATGACTGAAGAAAACAAAAACATTAATTCAAAAAGATACAAAAATGAACACTTCTGTTCATTGCAGCATTATTTACAACAGCCAGGATATGGAAGCAACCTAGGTGTCTCTCAGTAGATTAATGGATAAAGATGTGCATGTGAGCATGGACACACACACACACACACACACATACACACACACAGACTAGACTATTACTCGGAAATAAAAAAGAATAAAATCTTGCCATTTGTGACAACATAGGTGCACCTAGAGAACATTATGGTAAGGGAAATAAATCAGATAAAGAGAGACAAATACCATATGATTTCACTTATATGTGGAATCTAAAAAAAAAAGACAAATGAATAAACAAAACAAAAGTGAAACAGAACCATACATACCGAACAATTGTGGTTGCCAAAGAGGAGTGGGTAGGGGAATGGGTGAAATTTAAAAATAATTAATCTTTTAAAACTGACTATAATAAAAGGAAGAAAAAATAGTATCATTCACTCTTTGAGTATTTGTTGAATGCTACCTCCCTCATGAAGTGTTTCCAGATACCCTCAGCCAGTCTTGTTTGATCATTTTTTTGATGCTGCTTGTTTTTTGTTAACCACTCTTATGTCATTAATATATTTTAATATATTCTTGTCTTGTATTAAATTTGTGTGGTTATCTTACCTATTAGTCAATTCTTGAAAACTGAAAATAAGTATTTTCCTTATTCTGTTTATGGATAATAACTTCTGGGTAGATTTGTGAAATATATAAAATGGAACCAAAAATAACATAATTTTGAGCTGATAACTACTGAGTCCAGTGTGAAATTCTCTTCCTATGCTTCGTTTCAATGCTTGTTAAGCCTAGTGCCATTGTCACCTAAAGCTCATTCATGATGAGTTTCTTGGCAGAGAAAGAAGTTGAAAAACAGGTCAGGAAAGCTATCTTTATTGGTTCTAGGCCATTCATTGGTTTCTCTCGGAGGAAGTGGGTGTGAAGCAGGAAGCCTGAGGCAAGGCGGAGCATTACAGCATTATGTAAGAACAGAAACAGCTTTTTAAAATCCAAAGCATCTGCGTAGTCCCTTCAACTTCATTATAATGACATCTCTTCTCCATATATCAGTTGATTGCGAATCATAGATACTTAAATGGTCAGTATACATTAATACTAAGTAGAAATACCAAGAGATTCCTAATTCAGACACCTTTCAAAATTCAGGTTCTATTTACCTATTACAGATTTCAAGTATCTTTCTATGCATATTGTCTATCTTTAGTTTCAGGTTGAGAGATGGGACACTTGGGATCCCATAGATTCAATGAAAGGTTTCTAGTTTGAAATCTTTATAGAGTTCCTATGACCTATGGCCCACTGGTCATTTCCCTATTAAAAATGCAACAACAACAAAAAGTACAGTGCTATTCTTTTGTTTGTATGTGTGTGCATATAGATTAGACTTTTGTCCTGAGCCTTAATCTAAAGTTTAATAAGTTAGGCTAGCATGCAATACAAAATTTGATATTACTTTATTTATGGGAAACCAAATAACTATATATGTACTAGGAAATCATATACTTGTTCAATTTATTTTTAAGACACTTATATAGTATTTATACTAAGATATACTCTATACTCAGGTACCTTTTCTAAGTACTTTAGAAACGTTGTTAATTCTCATAATATCCCTATGGGGTTGGTACTATTACTTCATTTTACAGATGGGAAAACTGAGGCATAGAGAGATTAAAATAATTTGTTCAAGACCATTTAGCTACTGAATGTGAGAAACAGAATTTGAACCCAGGTCACCTGACTCTTCATAATTGTCCTTTCAAAATAACTGAATTGATCTAAAGCTCCTCTGTTCTTCTGGTGAAAGTTCTCCTGGTAGGGAGAGTACCTTTGAGGATTAGTTCCAGGTAAGTAATGTTCCATTTATTTTGATAGTTTTATCAAGAGACATCTATTAGGTGCTTGATTATACAAGGTATGTACCAAATGGTTCTTGAGCTTGGGCAGACTTAGAAGATAAGAAGTAAGTGTCCATCTCAGGTGTATTTATGTTAACTATTCACATAAAGTTTACCAAAAGGTAAGGGGCTGTAGATACTTTGTATGTCTATAGTGCGTTTAGAATTCACATATCACTGCCTTTGCTCCTCACACCACTCTTTGATTGCCAGGGAAAATATTAGTAGTTTCATTTTAAGGATGATAAAACTGAGGCTCAAAATTGTTGAGTGACTTTCCAAAAATCTCAGATAGTTAACAATGCAATTAGCACTCTAATCTAGTTCTTCTGACTTCAAATCCAGTGATCTTTCTCCTATATTAAACCCCTTTCCTAGAATCTGAACTTTGCTGTTACTTTGGCAACAGTGCAGAACACAGAGTGCCTAGAAACCATGATACTGCCTTCTCTGTGTGCCACAAAGTTAAAAGTTTAACTGAGGTCATTAGTCATCAATCCCTGTGTTAAATTCCCCTCTTCATGTGCTTCATCTTAACCTCATTTTTGTCACCCAAAGCTCATTTTTGATGGACTTCTTGGCAGATAGATCAGGTATGCTTATCTTTTCTGGAATGTCCAGACATTCTGTTTCTCTTAGTCCTGAGTATGGAGTAGGAAGCCTGAGACACACTGAATAGCAGCCTGGAGTGAGGCCTTTTCCCAAACTTGGGTCTCACATTCCACCTCTGATATAGCCATTTCCCTGTCAACAGCTCTTGTGAGATATGGCTATTTGGAAAAGGTGAAGAGCCTTTGCCTTCTGTTGGTTTGAGGTAACAAACTCTGTCTATAGTGGTTTAGATAGGGACTAGACTTTAGAGGAAATAATCTTCGCCCTTGGAGCTCACTTCATTCAGTTCTGAAGTTCTGAAGAGTCAGGTGTATGATCGGATTCTAAGAAAACTTTAGCTGCCAGGTCATTTAAGATCTTGCCAGCAGGTGGCACTGCTCTCTTTACTCACCGAACACAGCCTCTCCTGTCCTAGTTTCTTTGCTGCTATTTAGTTCCTCAGACTTGTTTAGCCAGACTGAAAACATTTCGCCTCCGTTCCCTTTGGTAGCGATTTAGTGTACAATATCTGTTTGTGCGTTTTAATTTATTTATACCCTCTTTCCAGAAATAATTTGAAATTGCTTACAACATAGTATACGAGGAAAAGGAGACCATAACTTTCAATAAAGGATATATATTTTGATTCTGGGTTGTGGATAGCTGGAGGAAAAAGATATATATATAGTGTTTTCATTACCAGGTCTTTGGGTAAATGAGGAGGGTGAATGACTTTTTTAGGATTTGAAACTAAAATCAAAGTTCTAACCTAGGATTATTGGAAGCAATCTCCTGCTATACTCTTCTCATCCAATTTATAACGTTATTCCTGTTCTATCAAACCTAAGCAGTACTTTTACTACCCTGCAGCCTCAAGGCTGTGCAAACACCATTCCCAAACCTATACACTTTAATTGTTCAAGATGCAGTCCTTACCCATTCATTCATCATACACAGTTTGAACTGCAGCTGTCTCCAAGGGCTTGTCCTGAGCATCGAAACCACAAGTATATCCATTAGGTAGCCTTGGCTGTGCCCAATCAATTTATGATTGGATTCTTTTCTCTCAGAAAGCTTTTAGCTAGTTGGAGAAAGATCTATCTATGTTTATACTCATTAAAAGTATAGAACTATTGCACGCAATGTTATAATCAAATGCTAAATCTTTGTAATAGGTCTTAATAGGGATGTAGGATTGTTCTGCCTATATAAAAATATAAATCGGTAAATTCCATCTCATTTAAGTTTCTAACAGAAATCAGATGAAAAGTGCTGCTTCAATACAGTTTGTAAGGAGTGGCATGGTCCGCAATAGCTGAGTAGCCTGGGGTGTGGACAGGCTGGGCGGAGGGCCCCACGCAGCTCCCAAGTGTTTGGCCAAGTGGAAGGACCTGCGTCTCACCCTGCCTACTTGTCTGAGGTTGGGACGAGGATTGGAGGGAGGGCTGACCGGGAGGAGGGCTCCAGGTAACCAGACTCAGGAGTCTACCTCCAAAGTTGCCCCCGCCCCCCGGGCTCCTTGCGCCTGGGTGGTGCGTGGCAGCCGTGAGGCCAGCGGCTTTGTGGCGCGCGTGGGTTCCACCGAGGGCGGCGCGGAGGCGGGGCTGGGCAGAGGCGTCCGCTGTCCCCAGCACTCTGCCCGGCTGCGGGTGCCCCGCATGGCCAGCCCTGCGGGGTCCGGCTTCCCGGCACGTACCAACAGTCGCCTGGACGCGTTCCTGCGCAGACACCTGGCACCTGAGGTCTACGACGCCATCCGCGCCTACGAGCCATGCATTGTGGTGTCCGACTCGGAGAAGCATACTTTAAAGTACTTGGTCCTCAGCGACCAGCTCATCTACCTGACCGAGAACCCGCCCAAGTCTATCCGGCAAGTCGTGGCGCTGCGGGACGTCGTGGCCATTGACCTGGTGAGGAGCGCGGCGCGTAGTCGGGTTCGCCAGAACCCCACTTCTTGTGTCCCCCAATCCCACCCTCCTACACTGTGAAGGAAAAGGAGGAAGAAGACCTTCCCCTTCCCTCCCTGGACTCCTGAACTTTTTTTTAACTTCAGCACTAGTAGCCGCCTAGAGAAACTGTGGATTGCTTGTATGCACTCTGTATAACCCTACCCGTTCTCATCACACACACACACACACACACACACACACACACACACACACACACCACTCGCCCTAATAGGGCTACAGATTTGAGAACATAGCCTCTTATCAAAAGTATGCTTTAAAGTCATTCATTCATTCAGCACAGGCTTGCTAGGCACTGTGCTATACAATGATGCAAAAATGAAACAGGGTTCCTTCCCAGAGACAAAGCCAACAGCAATGCAAATAAATGCAATGTGGTAAGTGCTGTTATGCCTTGTTTACTTTTTTTTTTTAAAAAATCAACATTTAGAGCATGTTTTTGCTCAGTGTGAATAAGTGAATGGATTAATGCATTAATGAGATGTGCACAGACGTCTGGCAATCTCAGGCATGTCACTTGATCCAAACTGGGCTCAGGTCATGCTGGAAAAACATCCTTGGCGGTACTGTCATCAGAGTGGAGCCTTGAAGGAGATACAATCTGGCACAGCCACACCTTGTCCCAGTTTGTAGTGTGCTGCTACTGTATCCCTTTACTCCAGAAATAGATTTACCTTATAAACCAACAGATTGGATGCACTCCCTCCTCTCCAATTACTGGTTCCCCTCCTTGGTTCCCTTTGTCTGAGCTGCTCTCCAGGTGTGTTCCTCCTTTTTTCCACTGGGGACAGGTGTCTAGTCTTGTTTTTTTCTCCCTTGTCTGAGTCTCTGTGTTTCCCAAGGGAGAGGTTGGTGAGAATCTTGATGGGGCTGTTTGCCAAGAGAATCATAGCTTGTTTAGAATGGTCTGTAAGAAGAGAATAAAATTAATGGAAAAATATTCTCTCTCTCGCTCCTTTTTCTTCCCTACTTAAAATACCTCTGTGGGATAACATCACAGTGAAAATTTCTTTTTCTTTTTCTTTTTAAAGTGAAAGTTGGGAAGTAAAATTGCCTTTTCTTTTACTGCCACTATTTATTTCCTTTACCTTGAATTAAAATGTTAAAAAATTAAATTTTCCTTTACCAAATGTTTTAAAAGAAACATTAAATGCTCAGCTTTTTCTAGTGTCTGGTAAACATTTATTATTTTGACAAAAAGTAGTGATTTTAGGATATTGTTACTTTTCCCAAGAAGAGATAGTATATGCATTTCAGTAGTTGTTAAATATCCTTCTTTAGAATCTGAAAAGTACACTAGAGGTCCCTAGGCTCCCCTGAGCCAAGAATCCTACAAAAAGGCTTACCAATTTATTTGGTCATGCTTTATGTACATTCAGTCTCTCAACAGTGCTGAAATCTTAGATTTGTTTAGCACCTTTATAGATATTACACAAATGTGCTGAAAAAAATCTAAGATTTCAGCACTGTTGATAGATTGTCCATCTTGCACAATCTACTATAACCTTGGTTAAAGTTGGGGTAGGCAGACTAATGGTTCTCAAAAGATATCTGACCTGTGAATATGTTACATTATATCATTACATGACAAAGGGGAACTAAAGTTGCAGATGGAGTTAAAGTTGTTTGCTAATTAGCTGACTTTAAAACAGAGAGATAATTTTGGATCATCTGGTGGGTCCAAGGTAATCACAAAGTCCTTAAAAATGGAAAAGTGAGGCAGAAAAAGTCCAGAAGGAATGCAGGCCTGCTGATACCTCGATTTTAGCCGTGATATCCATTTCAGACTTCTGTACTCCACAACTGTAAGAGAATGCATTTGTGTTGTTTAATACCACCAAGTTTGTGATAGTATTACATTAGGAACAGGAAATTAATATAGTAGTTTTCCCTATTATGGTGGTTTAAAATGGGTAATAATTGTTTTTATTTATTTTTGTTAATCCTCACTAGAGGATATTTTTTCCATTGATTTTTAGAGAGAGTGAAAGGGAAGGAGGGAGGGGGAGAGGGAGAGAGAGTGGAAGAGGGGAGAGAAAAAGAGAGGGGGACGAGAAACATCAATATGAAAGACACATGGATTGGTTCCCTCCTGCCCACATCCAGACTGCGGCCGGGGATTGAGCCTGCAACCCAGGTACATGCCCTTGACCAAGAATTGAACCCGAGACCCATCGGTATGTGGGCTGATGCACTAACCACTGAGTACACCATCCAAGGCTGGGTAATTGTTTTTAAAAAATATTGTTTCAGTGAGAAATAAATATAATCATGCCAAGCACAAATTCCTTAAAAATGTTTCTTTCTAAGTTTTATAAAGTAGTTCTAGGGTTATTATTATAGTTCAGTGGCTTGTCCTAAGCTCCATAGGATGTGTGAAAAATGGGTGTCACAGAATTGCGTTATCTGGTATCGATTAGTAACCACAGATGTAATTGACTGTCATCCCTCTATGAACACAATGTCCTTACTTAATACCACTGTATATAGAATTTTCCTGATTTCTATGTTACATCTCATGTAGTTGTCCTCCTATCCATGCTAACAAAAGACCAGAACTTGGATTGGGTACAAGTGAGATTTCCTTTGCACCAAAGATGAGTTTAAAGTGCACTTGGAGATTTCAGTAGGTGTTCCATATGGTTCATTTCCTAAAAGAGTTTCTCAGGTGGCTTGGGCAGAGCTTTTATAAAAGGCTGAAATTTTCCTTAAAAGCTACTTTTGAAATTATTCTCTAGAGTTCTGCTCTTTAAGTGCTTCTAAGATTAGAAACATATTGTTAAAGTGCGAGAACCAAATATCTAGAACAGTCTTTGAATTTCTTATGGTTTCATTCCATTCTAACAGCCACAGAAAAAAAAAAGAATCTTTCAACTCCAGCAGCCCTTGCCTCTACATCTACCTCTCTTTCTCCTGGTCCTTTCACCACGGCCCCTCGCTGGATCTCTGCTCTGCAGCCATCCCAGGCTCACATGGCTTTTTGAACAGGCAACAGATGTGCCTTTTGCAGCCTGGCTTGTTTGCTTGCAGTGTTCATGTTATGTCCTCCTCCTTCCAGGATGTTCAGATCATCATGTTTACACTCCTCCTCTTCCCCTCTCTTCTCTTCCTCCACCTCCTCCTTATAAAAATGTAAAAAACATTTTTAGCTTGCACAGGTCACAGGCTATGCTGAAGGTACCACTGTAATTTGCCAACTGATCCCCACTTTCCCTCTTTCTATATTCAGATCTCACACATTTTCTGGGCGAAGGCCAAGTCATTCTTTCTTCAAATGGCTTTTCCTTGACCGAACCCATGATGGCAGGTTTCCTGGGCTGTTTTGTTCGTTGCTGTATCTCTGGTTCGTAGAACACTGCCTGGTACAGATGGAATGCTCAGTAAATATATAAATAAATAAATAAATAAATAAATAAATAAATAAATATATATATATATATATATATCTAAATATATATATATATAAATATATATATATATATTTGGTGGTACATGCCCCTAGCGGGAACCAAACCCAGAACTCTCTGGTCCGCAGGCCGATGCTCAACCGCTGAGCCAAACTGGCCAGGGCCTCAGTAAATATTTGTTAAATATTTTACATGATCTGTCTCTTCTCTTTCTAAATTTATTGTCTGCAGTATACAGTTGAGCATTTTATAAAACATTTTTATTTTTTTTATTTTTTATTTTTTTTCATCCTCACCCGAGGACATTTTTCCATTTTTTGTTCAGGTAGAGTAGGAGGGGGAGAGAGGAACAGAGAGAGAGAGAAACATCGACGTGAAGGGACACATCGAGTGGCTGCCACCCGCACGACTGACCAGAGCCGGGGACAAACTGCAACCGAGGTACATGCCCCCAGCGGGAACCGAACCCGGGTCTCTCGGGACCGCAGGCCGACGCTCTAACCGCTGAGCCAAACCGGCCAGGACTAAAACATTTTTATTCAGCTTTTGCTTTCTACCTGTGTGGACCTGGTCCAGTTTTTTTTTTCTTTATTGATTTTTAGAGAAAGAGGAAGGGAGAGGGAGAGAGAGAGAGAGCGACATCGATGAGAGAGAACATCAATTAGCTGCCTCCTGCATGCCCCCCACTGGGAGATTGGGCCCACAACCTGGGCATGTGCCCTGAGAAGGAATCAAACCTGCCACCTCTTGGTGCGTGGGTCGATGCTCAACCACTGAGCCACACCAGCCAGGAGACTTGGTCAAGTTTTTTAACCTCTACTTAGTGCCCTACTTCCTCATGTGTAAAATGGGGATAACAGCACCTTACTTATAGAGTTGTTGGAAAGAGTAAATTAATAAATGTAACACTTAAAATTGTACTTGCTAGCCCTGGCCGGTTTGGCTCAGCGGTTAGAGCATCGGCCTGCGGTCCAGAGAGACCCGGGTTCGGTTCCCGCTAAGGGCATGTACCTCGGTTGCAGTTTGTCCCCGGCCCTGGTTGGTCGTGCGGGTGGCAGCCACTCGATGTGTCTCTTTCACGTCGATGTTTCTCTCTCTCTCTCTCTTCCTCTCTCTCCCTCCCACTCTATCTGTGCAAAAAATGGAAAAATGTCCTCGGGTGAGGATAAAAAACAAACAAACAAAAAATTGTACTTGCTACATGATGAGCTACATACATGTTAGTTATAATTAATAATCTTTATCACATATATTAAGTTAATTAAGGCTCACCATGAACCTGTAAGAGCAATATTAGTATCCCCTTTCCAAATTAGGATATTTAGTTTTAGGAGGTTTAGGAAATTTGGAAAGAAAATAATTGTTTTTGAGCATTTATTATATATTAGGTGTTTTAAAACATATTATCTCATTTATTCTTTTTGAAAACCTGCCCAGTAGGTCTGACAAGCTGAATACATTCAAAAACAGAATTCCCAATCTTCACCCCAAACCTGTTCATCTCTTAGTTTTCCCTATTTTAGAAAATAACATTTC